TCAGGCTGTTGCGTTGACTGATGCCGTCAAGGGTATTTCTTTTACCCGGACCGTAAACTTACCCGTGCTAGGCGTTATAGAGAATATGAGCGGATATGCATGCCCTTGTTGCGGAGAGGTAGTTCCGTCTTCACTGTATTTAACGTATATCCCTAACGTGCTTGTTTAGGTCACGAACGTGTTCTCTAAAGGCGGCGGAAAGTCAATGGCTGAGCGCGAGAAGGTATATTTCTTGGGTAGCCTCCCCATCGATACTCAGCTTGTTGAGCTTCTTGATTCTGCTCCGCCAACTGCGTCACCCCAACCGACAGAGAACGGGACGTCTTCTTCAACTCAGTCCGTTACACCACCTCTCCAGGCGACCGACCTTTCCCCGGTGACACAACTCAACACTTTGTCCGGTGTCCAGAACGGAGTTTCCCCTGTGGTTCCTCTGGGATCGAGTCCAGGGCGGACATTTGATGTTTTGGATAGGTATCAACGAACCCCAACGTGGGGGTTGTTCAGGCCAATGGCTGAATACATTATCGAACAACTGGGGTAATTCCCTAGATGCATATATTGTTTGAATCATAGAAGGCGTTGTCATGAACACAATATTTTTGAGGTTTTTCGCGAGCGTTTATTAAAGCACAACTCGTCAGGTGACCATCGCGTCCACAAGTTGCACTTTACGTCAACCATGCCGCGCGAAGTATTTCTCGCACCTGGTGGCTCTCCCTTCGTTCAAAACACACCTTTTCAACATCACGAACATTCTGACACAGATATATCGCTCCCTGAACTGTCTTCTCATTACTTTCGCGCTGGCGGCAACCCCGACAACCTCAACTCATCACGCGGTCTGGCTGGTCTAGGGGACATCAGTATTGATATGGCCGAAGACGATAGCCCAATGAGGTTTCGCTCAAGTGGGTCGGACGAGATGCTCATGGGGGTCAAAGGCGGCGAGTTTTTGGCAGACGATAGCGCCCTGGGATTTGATACCTCTCTCATGTCGAAGCCATTTGAGTCTCGTTCGAAGCTAAACCATTCGACAACTTTACCAGTGACTGTAGCTGAGGAACCTGAACCTGAAATAGAGGTTGAGCAGGCTGCCAAGACAGGGAAGCCGAAACGGAAGAAGTCTAGTACGTAGGGATGTTTCTGTGGTGTTATACTAAGCTGAACTTGCATGCAGCTCGTTCGCGTTCCAAATCCCCTTCAAAGAAAAGCGTTACGCCCGACCCTGTCTCCGTGGCTGTCGAGAGTGGTGCTCCATTCCTTCGCGAGCCAATGGAAACAACAACGGAGGTCCCAGAACCTGGTGAGCCCAGCTGGGTATTCGACCCCTTTCCTATGCTTAAATGCAGTCTACAACCAGAACCCGAAGTAGTTGTTCCTGAACCTGAGGTTAGACCTCGACGTACAAGCCCGCGAAAGGCTCGCACGCGTGCTCCGTCCGCCGTCGAGCCTCCAGTGGTTTCGAACGCTACATTGGCTGCATCTCCTTTCAACCCATTCTCTCCGCCTACTTCGGAGCTAGCCCCCCCGTCTGAACCGACCCCACAACCAACTCAGCAGTCGCCCGAAGTCAGCACACAGCCGCCTCAAAGCACCAAGTCAAAGCGTACGTCGCGATCCGTGGGGCGTTCCAAGTCCAAGACTAGATCAAAGGATGTGCCGGCAGAGGAGGATAACCCGCAGGTGGGAGGTATAACTACCAGCGCCACGCTTGTACCATCTATTGGGAAAGAGCACACTTCCCCAGATCTCGGTCAAAGCGTCCTACCTTCGTTTCCCAAGGCCGCCGACGCCCACAAGGAGACCTCGCCTCCAGCCGCGGCAGAAGATATATTGCCCCCTGCGTTCGTAGACAAGTATTCGAGCATCATCAAGACGACAATTCCACAACAACAACCCGTACACGCTCGTGCTGAATCCGGACCTGTCCCGTTCAAATTTCAGGCGGTTCCTTCGACCACCAAGAGCAGGAGCAAGAGCCTGACACCTGCTGAAACCCATACCCCTCCCGTCCCTCCGACTATCACTTCCACTTTGGCAACACCGAGCCTGGATATTCCCGCCTCGGAGGAAACACCCCGGGAACCAACAGAAGAGGAGGAGGCTGAGGCTATTGCTAGCGCGCTACAGATTCTAAGGCGAGACTCGTCGATCTTCCCTCAGCTTCGACAATCTATTGCTCCTAATTACACACCCACCCTCGAGCCCATTCCTTCCCACGGCAATGCCCTTGCTGCGGCCCAGGAACCAAATCAAACGCTTGTGCAGGCGGAGCCGGTTCACAAACGTACGCGTGTGGGTCGATCATCGACCCGGGTACGCGGCGGGGCTGGTATCACCGCGCCGGGTAACCAGGCTAGGATGAATCAAGTTATTGAGGAAGGACGAGTCGAAGCATCCCAGAAACCAGAGGAAGCTATTCCCGAGTTGGATACCCTTGGTGTTGGAACGCTTACCCGGCCCAACGGCCCAGTTGATGAGGCGGATGAGGCGGGCGAGGCAGAACTGGAGCAAGAGCTGGTAGCGGAGGATATTGTAGTCCCGGTCAATTTTGGCTCGCGTACCCCTTCACCTACCCCCGTACCAACTAGCGCGTCTCCGCCTTTTGGGACACAGCCAGGACCCGAGCCCCGAAGTGCGATTTCAGGTACCAGGACTGGACCTATCCCGCGATCAAGAACGTCAACTGCACCAAACTCGTCCCCACCTTCGTCTACCGGACCGACAGGGATGAACGATGCGCCTGTGAAGCCCCGAGCTGTACGGGCATCACTGCCGGTTCAAACAACTCGAGTTTCAGCCCCAACGACACGTGCAGCTCGAATGTCTGAAGGACGTCCAATGGTTGCCAGGAATGTCGGTAGTGCTCGAGCTAGCAAGCCAAGGGAGCCTGAACTGGTCGAAGAGAAAGAGGACGACGAGAAAAACGCAGAGGAAACAACGGGACCGGACCTGCCAATCGTGGATGTTTCAGCCCCCACTTCCATACCCCCGATCGGGGACGTAGTTCAACCCGCGGCGGTTGGCAACTCAGTTGTGCCCTCAGAGCCTGTCTCAGCCCTGGAGGCCACCACCGAGGCCAGGATAGATCACGAGCCACACCCAGAGCCAGGACTCGCGGAAGATCTGAACACCTCTGCCCCCACCAAGCTGCCCGCACAACACAAGGCTTTAGGCGTGTCCGGCAAGGGTCGCCCCCAACGAGCTGCTCCTGTAGCCTCCCAGAAGGCGGTGTCCACTGCCGCCTCAAAGCCCGGCGCGCGTGTTCTCTCTGGTCAGAGAAGCGTTTCAATAACGGAGAAGCCATCTGTGCCTGCGCCTACGAAGACCACAGTTGTTGTTGCGCCCAAGTCCAGCGTGGTTGCGCTCGGAGAGGGTACTCCGCCTATCGCTGAATCGGCGCCCGCTTCATCAAGTTCCGCAAGACCCCAACGAAAAGTCACTACGTCCCGGAAACCCGGCCCTACTGCGTCCGTAACCCAGAAACCGCCATCTGGGTCGTCTCAAGCCACAGACACGACTGGCCCAGTCCTAAACAAAGATGCCAAGACTAGCTCCAGCCGTGTCGCGGCGAAGAACAAGCCTGAAGCCAAAGCTCGCCCTACAAGGACACTACCTAAATGTACCGCTGCTACGTCCAGGGACCAGACATCAGGAGAGACAGAAGGCAACGAAGAGACTGCCCTATCAAAGCAAGTTACGGATGGGGACAAGGCCGAAGCGATGTAAGTCAAATATAATCCTAAATGCAAGGAACGACTTATTGATTATCGTTTAACGGTAGCGAGCAAGTGGCCAAAGAAGCGATCACCAAACCAACGAGAGCAGGTCCTTTCGAGCACACGCACGGTGTTTTCCAACCAATTCTGAACTATCAGGATCTGAATAACCCTCTTGCTTGCTCGGAGCCACATACATCCCCTCCGCGGCCGAACAAGCGATGCGCCACCCCAGAGATCGACCCAGAACATCAGGTATTCGATTCACCCAGCAAGCGTGTGCGATTCAGCGCGGAGCTTGAGGCTGGGCCTACCCCTCGAGCAGCTCCTAATCGTGTCAAGCCGAAACCAAGCCTAAAACCATTTGCAAAACCCAAATTCCGGCTCAAGGTTAACCGCCCTAAACGCACGCTGACGCGTAACAAACCACCAACTGACATGGTACCCTCCTACGCTGCGCCGCTTAAGCGAACCGTATCGGCGCAGGTGGATAGTGGCGTTGCCAACTCAGAGCGCCCGCCGCTGTCTGAATCTCGCGTAAGACATTTCTCACATGTCCCCTAAGCGCACTTATCAAACCTGGCTGTTTAGACCAACGCACGTTCAACAACAAACAAACTGAAACCCACAGTGCCTGTCGAATTCACATTCCGCTCCGAGTTGCGAACGAAGCCCCCGGTCGAAGTGCCGCTCCCAAACGCCATCCCAATTGCTTTGCCTATGCCAGACTTTGCCGCTGCACATGCCGCCGCAGAGGCCGCCAATCTGGCGCGGCGTGAGCGGACACAAGCAGTGTTCCTTGCTGCTCAAGCAGAGCTCGAAGGCTGGCGTGAATCGAAGCATGAGATTGGGGGCGAGACGGCACGACGGGCGGCAGAGCGTGCAGTGTTTGATGCAGCTCTGAGGGTGAAGGAAGCGGAGACGGAACGAATGCGTCTTGAGGCGAAGAAATTGGAAGATGAGAGGGAAGCAACTGAGATCAAGGAGCTACGAAAGCGAATGGTCCCAAAGGCGAATCCGGTGCCGGAATGGTACAAGCAGATTGGACAGAACGAGAACAGGGGCGAAGGCCGCGTTGAAACGGAGTAGTGTGATTCAATCTTTGATTTCATGACTAGATGCATTTTGGACGACGTTTTCGATTGTACCGCTATCAACAAAGACATTTCCTGTATATGCGGTATCTAAGCAAACGTGATGTTGAAAAGTAATGCGATCTAAAACAAAATAACCACAACGGGCAGCCTCCATATTTCTTGACCCGAGTTAATTCGGTAAGTCGGTATAGCAAAGTGGTTACTGCGTTTGACTTGAACACTACTTTGTGGTGAGTTATCAAATTCCCTTCGGGAGCGTAGGTTCGAACCCTACTGCCGACGCTTTTGTCGCCCATTACCCCCCACATTTTCACCCCTGACCAGCAGGAAGTTTTGTTTAAAATGCATTTTTTTTTAGTATGATTATCTCAAATCGTGCCTTTTGCCAAATCACTGTCCAAGCACAGCACACAGCCTGTCCTTCACTCTAACCTCATCTCGCACCGACATTTTCCACCTCACAAATCTCTGACATACTTCTACGCACTCTTCGAGTTCCGCAGCCTCCCCTTCTGTCATATCTTCATCTAATAGTAGCCCGATCTCGTCGCGTTTCAACGCATCGCTGTTCCACATCACATTGAAGTCAGTGCTGAAACAGTGCGTGAAACCGCCTCAGGACCCTACCTCACGAAGCGTGCCCGTTCCACGATATCGGACCCCTGAACCATATTTAACAGTAGTTAGAACAGAGCGGGGCATCCAACATACCAGTCCGTATGATTGTGCGCATTCCGCCGCGTAAGACTCCAAGCACAGTCCAGGAGTGACTCTAGCTCAGTTGAAGTGAACATGCGGTTCTCGGGCTAAGCCCCATGAAAGGTTGACTCACCTATACAAATAGGTAATCTCAGTGGAAGGAGCCTCGTCTATTTCCTGTGCGCCGTCACCTGGAGTGAGTAGAATGTTCATATATGCGTACGATATAGGAAAGCTAGGGGGTATCAGCCCCCTCGTGAAAAGTTCGTGGAAATGAGTAGACGCGAGGACTTTAGGGCATTCAGCTCCACGCTTGAGAAGATGGGAAATGACGCCAGCAAACAACCCAGCACCATCTATAGCAGAAGTCAGCTCGTGTCAACACTGCTATTCCCACACTCGCCAGTTGATAGCGAGCCCTTGCCGAACTTTCTGGCGAGTTATTACGATGGTCATAAAAATGGTATATGTGGGACATGCCTCATCCATGACAATAAGGCTCCGCACCGTCGAGTTGCGTAACGCCAGGGATACTTGAGACAAGTCGATCATGAACGACGATTGGAGCTTCCAAGCTCGCATCAGGCCTCGGCCAATGCACCCCACCGACATGCATACCTTCGATACGCCTTCTTGGTTCTGGACCCTGGTGAAAACTAAATACAGTCAAGTAGCTCGAGCCTCTTTGTTTTGCAAGAGCTTACTTTTATCAACCACCCCCAGACGCGCAGATTCTGCAGGCACAAAGCTACGGCTGCTGTTAGATATAATATTACGGCGAGCCTTCATCTCCCCACCAGCCAATCTGTACGCAAAAAATCAAGATAAGCAGTTAGTTTTTCCACGAACAAAGTAACCAACCTGGGCCATGAACGGGATCAGGGCGTTTTGCTTGAGGTACACGCTCTATTGGATGTGAATCACTAAAAGCGATAGAGCGCGTCGAACATCTAGCATACCTTTCCACCTATTGTCATAGGCTATGATGAGAGGTAGAGAATCCTCAGGAGATAGTGTCGCTTACATGCGTTTGCGCCGGTTACTATCGTCACGCTCTTTGCTCCATCCTCACCATCCTCGGTTTCAACCCCAGTTCCTCGGCCACCGGCAATGTAAAGGTCGTTAGGAACAAAGGTTGGCACTTGGAGAGCTTGCAAAGGATGACTAGGAGAACAAAATGATTATACAATTCGAATTATCACCAAATCCTCACTCACTGCCCGCTCTTAATTTCAAGAACGTTCTCCTCCGTCATCTCCGGTTTAATCCATTCATGCAGACGAGACGAAAGCGCTAGAGATAATAGACTACGATTACGGTAAGTTTGCGTTTGACGGGTCAAAAGCTGCTTGGGTCACCAATCGACTTCGGCTGCAGCCTCGCACACGGCGATGATTGCCTTGTCGTGTTGCAGTATGCGAGCAAGCGTGTCCTCCATAATCTCGATTTCTCTGTCACGGAGCAGTGTGGGACTGAGTGTTTCAGTCAAGTGCCTGGGTTCCCTTACCGATCTAGATTATGGATTAGGAGGGTTCCGGTACTGTCAGAAAACCGAAGCTTACCTACGATGTATGAGTGCAAGTCCCCGACATGAACATCTAAGTCTGTCACGGCAGGTATTATTATAAGCATAAGTCGCATGCGAGACCTTCGTTACCTTGCATCTCCGGCGACTTGTAAAAGACGTTTTCGCTAATCGCAGAAGTTGGTTCCCCGACCGAAATTATAAGTATTGGCTCACTCACTCGGTTTCCCACTAATCCGACAAAGACACACAAGGTAAGTCAGAAGTACCATACATTCGCTAGACTAACTTACCTGATGTATCCAACCAGGAACTTGCTCAAAGTCCTTCCGCATTGTCCACTCTGGCCGCCTCGGTATACGTATAAGAAACCCTTGTGCCAAGTGTAGCCTATGAGTTACCATTCAACCTAGGTTGTGCGGATGTATGCGTACCAAGCTGGGGAAAATATAAAACCTGGAGTTCTGTTGCAAACTCTTCAGGGACAGACTGGCTAATACCCCGAGCCACTCGAACCTGAGTTTGGTCGCCCGGTTTCAACCCACACGACCATGGGCAAAAGTAATATAGTGAAAACTTGCCAATAAATCGTCCAGCCCGTTGTAGCTTCGCTTCTTCTCGTCTAGGGCTTCGTCGATACCAGGATTCACACAAATGGTCTTAGTGTTTTGTGACTCTTCCCAGTCAACCTGATTAAATCAAGGTTCGGCGCTCGACCACGCTAGATGCCCGGTTACCTACCACTGTGTTGATTAAAATCCCAGTATCTTCTGAACTTACGCCTTCAAGCGCTGTTAAGAACTGGATGTTCGCATTGTCAGCTAGGATAACTAGACAAAACAATGTAATTACCTGGTCGATTGCACCAACTCCCTCTCGACCAATCAGCTCGCAAACCCCATCTTTCAACAATACGACGCGATAGGAGAACTATTTTATCCACGCACTGATCAGTTTAGGCCGTGATCTATTCCACTGAAGAATATCTTACGTTAGCAATTGCCCTCCACTCTGAGAGCCTCCCTCGCCCCGTCCTCAGCAACGCCATAGCCTTTGGCACCTGGCAAAGCGCACGCAAGTTGGAGCTAAGAGTGCTGGAGACGGTGACATTATCAGGGAGGTTGAAACATTCGATGGCCGCGTGTCGGGCTTCAATAACAGGTATCGACAAGGACGGGCGGAGGCACCACCGGCGCAGTAGACCCCGCCCGAGATGCGTCGAGGTGTGATTGATGAGTTCTAAAGTCCCAACAATATTTGAGACGTGGAAACGAGTTGGGAGAGGGAGCGTACGAAATAGAGAATGGCCTTCTTTCGTTTTGTCCGAGTGAACGGAGGCATGGTTTTCGTCATCGAAAATCTGTAGGGAGCTATTGACGAGGGTGTGAGTCTTGAACTAACCGTCAGAATCCTACGTACGAAAGAGCATCCGCGTTTATTTGCATAACTTCGTCCCTGCGACATACTTGAACTGACCGAGGAAAAGACGCAAAATCCAATATAACTCACAAAGCCAGAACCTCGATGTTATTGATATTCAACGCGCCCATATGGTTCTGTGATTCGTCCAATTCCAAAGCTGCATGGACACGCAACAGTTGATCAAGCAGCGCCGCCGTAGCGGCCATCTGTTGGAGGAACTTCGTCGCAGGTAAATAAATGCGCAAGGAAACCAACGTACGCAAAGTGGGGCATGATTACCACCAAAGTTCAGTCGCCGAATTGCTGCAAGCGTCCTTTGGGACGTGGGGTCGCCAGCGCCGTTGCTTCGAGAGTCAATAAAATCGTTTACATTCCGAGGGGCAGCGTTGGGCAAGGTCGAATTATGGGAGATCTCAGGACCGTTTCGAGGCAACTCGGAGAGTATACGGAGCTGCTGAAGTTTCTCTTGTCCCTTGTACGCGGCGAATTCACGTTGGGGTCGTATGACGCACAGGCCACCAGAGAGCTCCACTAAATCAGATGGATCAGCACCAAGTACGGCAATAAGGTTAAGAAGCAGCCACTGACTGTATTCTTGGCAAAACAATATTAGAGGGTCGTCAGCCCGCGAGCTGATCAGACAGGTATCGGGTTTTGTTTGCTCCAGGACTAATGAATTCCTTAGCTATCTTCTCTGGGGTGTGGCGCGCACAAACTCACATATTTTCACCAAGTCGAAATGCATCCCATCGGCGGTATCTTCGAGGAAATAGAGTGTAGCTGTTACGGGGTTATAATACGCGCCACCTACGCGACCTCTGGTAGAGACCGCCTAATCAGGTTGGCAACAACGAATCATTCAGTCCATACATACTGAAAACCTGTTACCGAAACGAAAACCTAATGGGCCCGCGCATACATTATATCAGCGCGTCAAACTCAGCGTGAATATACGCAGAGATGTCACTTTTGAATCTGGGATATCGTCTGACGAGGTATGGTGGGTCGGGGTTGGGCTTGCTGGGTCCTCTTCATTGGTCCATCTGACGCGTTTCTGACCCTCATTATTATTGTTACCCTCTTCTTCGCTGTCCCCGGAGCGTCTTTTGTGTCCCTCCGAAGCCATGAATATAATGACGAGGATGAAAGGAGACGGGTGTGGTTGTGGTCAGGTGGTGAAGCTTGGTGGCGCTTCCCCGCGCCAACTCGTGGTCACGTGTTCCGCCACATCACTTTAATTCACTGTGTCTTACTACCCTGTTTAAGGCATCGTGTCCTGCTCAATAAACAGAACCGTGGAATAACCAGAGAGCCACACATGGCTCGAACGATTGAACCTGAATTGCGGCTCAGATATCCGCCCTCAAGCGCATTTCTGTAATCCGCCTCTTGCGCTGCCCCTCGAAAACGGCTATAAAAGCCAGTGACGAAAGCCGAGAGAATTCACCAGTATACGCACTCACCACTACTTCAGCCACCACTCCAACTGCTACTAAACATTATGTCTCGCCTCGCGGAAATCGGCGCCCCCTCCGAGGCCAACAAGTGTGTAGTCTACCCTCCAGCCTAGCTTCCCAAATTGAGTATATTTCTGGTTGCTTTTCAGGGCTATTGGCGGCGTCCCGACGGTGTACTA